CTGCTGATGCCTGAACGGTATGTGGAATGAAGTGGGCGGGCATCGGGAGGCCACTATGGCACGGGGCAAGCACTATGGGCAGTCTATCTGAAGTGTACCTGGCGTATAAGACGACCCCCCACTTGGAGGCATATTTTTCAGGGCCAAAAAATCGTCTTCTACGCCGGCAAATACGGTAGCTTATGTGTTTTTAATCTTCCCTTAATTGTACCATTTGTTTCTAGAAACAAAATACAAGCTATTTTAGAAAAGAATTAATACAGTTCATTTTTATCATTAAAGAGAGTTAAATGTTTAGCTTTGCTTCTTACCATGTCTATAAAAATATATAAAAGCATAATATGCTAATTAGACCGGGCATCCTTCCGGATGAAGCCGGGGCCACGAGGGAAGCCTGGGTGCCAGGTGCCAGAGGGAAGCTGGTGCCGGCAGCCGGGGGAAGGAAGGCCTACTCTTGCACGAATTTCATGCATCGGGCCTCTAGTACTTAAATGTACTTGTAAGAATATAATTATGAGTGTCTCTCTCACATTGTCTCTCTCTCTCTCTCTTCCCTCTCTTTCTCTCCCTGGTTCCCTGGCCTTGGTCAGAGTGCATGCAGGAGGCAAACAACTGATGTTTCTCTCTGTCTCTCTCCCTCCCTTCCACTCTCTCTTAAAAGCAATGGACAAACTATCCTTGGGTGAGGATTAATGAATAATAAATTAATTAACAAATAAATAAAGCATCAGTTTTTGCTAAATATAATCAAGAACACACCCCTCCTCTGTTAAGCAAGGGGGAGTGAATTAATTCCAAAGGCCTTTTCCAATGTTTTATCTTTCTTCATCTCCTCAACCAATTATTTCACAGCAGATGAAATAGAGGTTCAAAGAATAACTTATCCAAAGTCATACAACAAGGAAGTAGAAGACCACCTCACAATTTTAAAAACTTTAAATGTGGATAACTTCTAAAGTCTTCTATCCATTTCCAACAACTTTTTTCAATTGGAAAAAAAGGTATATAAATCTAAGTGTTGAGTTATATTAAGTTATAAATTTATCTCGACAAGGGGAGGGGTTGATGGGGACAGTGGAGGTAAGCAAGGGGAGGGAAGGGGTCTCCTGCAATAATGTCAACATTAAAAAATTAATAAAAATAAATAAAATGTAAAAAAATAATAAAATATAGGACATACTTTTATTAACTTTTGTCAAAGAATATAAAAATTTTAGTGCTACTGAATATTTAAATAACTTATACTTACACAGTCACAATGTCAAATTTTCAACAGGATTAGCCACAAAAAAGAAATAGAAAAAAAACTATAAATAAGAAACATATTGAGACGACACACTCAAAGAAAAAACAAGACAATTTGAAAGTATAAAATCATAAAAACAAAACAGTACAGGAATAACAAAAGAGAAAACTTCTGTAAACAAACTGAAACGATTGAAACGTCTCACCTGTATGTAATGCGCGGGTGGAGAGGAATAAACTCAGCTGGCCCAAATTCTACTGAGCAGCCACGCGTGGTCAGTGTTAGCAATTCCCCGTGGCACGTCAGCAAAACCAGGGAGCCGCGTTTTAACATACAGGCCAGGAAGAGACTGTCATGGGTCCAGCTGATGTCGCCTACCCAGTAGGACCTAGAAAGAGCGAGACAGTATGTTTAGAAAGGATTCTAGACAATGTGTCTGACAATTTCTAACAGCCAAGCAGAGGTGAAACTCTTCAAAAAACAAGGGCAAAAGAATGGAGAGCAGCCCTCACTGAAGGTTCCCAGGTTCGATTCCTGTCAACGGCACATGCCTGGGCTGTGGGCTCGATCCCCAGGAGGGGGTGTGCAGGAGGCAGCCGGTCAATGATTCTCTCATCATTGATGTTTTTTTCTCTCTCTCTCCCTGTCCCTTCCTCTCTGATGTCAATAAAAATATTTCTTTTAAAAACGAATGGAGAGCAGACAACTGCCATAACTGCCACATACACTTTGTGTATGTCACTTCCCAGAGAAAAAGAGTTCACGCATGCACATCTACTCCATACGACATACTAATCAGAAATTTCGATTCATAAGCAAATGATAAAATAAAAATACTCCCCAAGAGTTAAGCTTTTCAGCCACTCACATGTTAATCAGAACAACTGTTAATCAGAACAATCCTATTGGTGTCCACAACCAAGATCTACTGATAGACGGAAAGGTCAACACCCGCTGAGTTCCACGCGGCCGCAGAATCCCTGTTCGCCAAGCCATCATTTCTCCTCCCTAATTGTCTGGCAACAGTGATGTCTCATGGAGACAAAAGTAGCTGTTGCTCATGTAAATGAGGGACACCTTAAGTCAAACACTGCTGAACTGAGACCCGTAACAAGTTCCATCTTATTCTAACCACTTGTTCACATGTAACTAACATTTTTCTATATCATGTTGGTTTTTTCTCTGTAATGCTCAGGAGACCAGGTATAGGGGACAGTTAGGTTCAGGGCCGCAGGCCTGGTAGGGTTAAGGGGGGGAAGAAAATGAGGAGACAAGGCTGGATGGGTCTAAAAACTTTGAAAATTCAGAGAGCAGCACAGAAAAGTGTTCAGAAAGGGAAGTCGGGGGTCCAAGAGGAAACCTCCCTATTCTATGTCCCACGTGGTAGCTCCCATGCCATCCCAAATCGCCACGTATGTGGCTACTGACCCGTGTGCAGAGAATGCCAACTTTTTTCCAGTTCAGCCTCCCCAGTTAAGCCCAATATATTTCTACCAGCCATGATCCCACTCTTCCTCAGACAACGTAGCAAGAAATAGAAGAGAGAAAATGCGAACTAGCTTCCCCCCAAGCAGCCCCTTCCTTAGGCACTTACGGCTTTCCTCACATAAGGCAATCTTTAGAACCTATCACACAGATGCTGAGAGTTGCATTACCCATCTAAATACCTATTTAGACACCTACTGAACCATCAGAGCCTTAAACGTATCAAACTGTTGGGGAAAATAACAAAAGCACCATTTAGAAATACAAAAGAGTTCTTACCTGACAAGGGTAGCAGGGACCATGGGGCTCTTATTGCTACAGCCTTTAAGGCTTCCACAGAGAGTAACAAAATTCAGTGTGTTTACAAATAATACCTGAGTTGCCTAGAGAGAGTTAACGAAGACAAAACCATTAAAATTATTTTACTTTGATCATTACTTGTAATTCTGAAGACCTAGAGATCTATTATTATATCAGTACGCTACCTAGGGGTCTTTCCCAACGGGCAAGCAGTGCTCACCACCCATATATTTCTTTTCTTTGATTCTACATTTTAAGAACATCAGTTACAGCATTGCCCTTCTTTCTTCCTTTTCCCTCAACCTATTTTTGCTTCTGAAGGCTAAGTATTGAAAACTATAGCAGGTCATTTATTTATTTAATTTCTTTAGTGATTTGAGAGAGAGAGGAAGGGAGAGAAACATCGATGTGAGCGAGGAACCTTGATCGGTCGCCTCCTGTACCCACCCCGACCAGGGATCAAACCAGACACCTGGGCATGCGCCCTGACTGGGAATTGAACTGGCAACCTTTCGGAGCACGGGACAACACTCAGCCAGCTGAGCCACACCAGCCAGGGCCTGGTAGCCAATTTAAATAACTTCACCAATCCACAATGTTGAGTTGGATTAGAAAACACCAATTTAAAGAATTACCTCCAGGGGGGAAAAACATTCTAAAACGCGACTCAATTCTCTTATAGGTTACTTCCAAGACAGGTTACATTCCTGACCTGCGGGTCTTTCTGATTCAGAGTCACTGCCAGGGTAAGGCCATCTCTTGAAAAGGCAGCAATCAGAGCTCCTCTTGACTTGACCGGTTCACACGTAGGACTCAGACTGCCCAGGAGGCAATCTTGCTGTGCCCAATGAACACGGTATGGCAAGGATCTAAGAAAGGAAGGAAATAATTGAACACAGGAAGTATGGTGACTTCTAGATTAATACATAGTTCATTACAAAAAAAAACTAAAGGGTCCAACTAAGTTCCTACATGTGCACATATATTAGGGGCCTCTTAGCAGCCGTCCACGTCACAGAAGAGCAGTCACCAGTTAAACAAGCTCCATCGCAGAGTTTTGTTAGTAAGAGCATGTTTGGTAGCCAACCCCAAATACATCTGCTTCCACTAATGGTTTAGACACCCCCATTTCTATATTATTGCTAACATTTTTAAAGGGACTGAATAGAGAAGAGTGGGTTTTCCAGATAGTGTTCTATACTTGATATGAGGACTGTTACACGCATGTATATTCATTAGATTTGTTTGTTTTAACTTTATGTAAGTTATACCTTAGTAAGTTATTGTTAGTATAAAAAATAAAGAAAATAAACAGAAAGAAAAATACACGCCCCCCAAATCACAATATTTTATTTAGCCATCATATGTTTTTATAATGCATTCTTTTTGATGGGCTTTTTAGAATAATTCTATGTTTAAATAAAAAAACTCTCCAGCATGTAATAAGTACAGTAAATTCAAGTGCCTTTTAAAATTGACTGTAAAAATTCCTTTCCAAAGTAGTTCTTTATTGTCTTAAAACAAGTAAAACCATAGTCTGCCTTATCTTTTACGTGTTTTCACTTCTAAGAAGGGAAACAAAACAAAAGCAAAATAACTGATTAAATGTGTTTAAATGAAAACTAAAGCAATACTGTGGGAAGAAAGGATCTGTAAAGTCTCAGAAGTGATAGTTCGTTTACTAATCTGACTGTGTATTTCTAAGGCAGTGATGGCGAACCTATGACATGTGTGTCAGAGGTGATAAGCGAACTCATTTTTTTGGTTGATTTTTCTTTGTTAAATGGCATTTAAATATATAAAATAAATATCAAAAATATGTCTTTGTTTTACTATGGTTGCAAATATAAAAAAATTTCTATATGTGACACGGCACCAGAGTTAAGTTAGGGTTTTTCAAAATGCTGTCACGCCGAGCTCAAAAGGTTCGCCATCACTGTTCTAAGCCAAAGGCCCTGTGTCTTAAAAGGGAGGGAAAATAAGAAAGAAGGGAACATTTACCTCACCTCACAGGTGGAAACACATTCTCATGCCACCGAATTGCTAGACATGTCAACCTCAAACACTCCCCAGCATAAAACGTGAATGCGCACAGGCAGCAGTCGCCCAATAACTGTAGATAAATGCAATATACTTTAGCACGTAATCTATCCGACAACAAATCAAGGCGCAGAACATACATATTTCTCATCACAAATTAAATATATCGAGATCTTGTTTCTATTTTTATTCTAAACATTAGGTTCAAGACTAATTTATTTCTGAGCCACAGGTATATCCCAAATGGGAAATCAACATGCAGTTTATTCTCTTAAGAAAACACTGCCATTTACTGGGGCTGTCACTAAAACGATACTTACATAGTAACTTTCTTTTCTACAATTATATATTATTTAAACTAGGGCACTGGAAGTGGGAAAACAAAGTAGAGGAAAACAATGAAACTTCAAAATGCAACTTTTAACAGTAGTGGACTGGTAATAAAATGCAGGTCCATGCTGCTATTTAAAATGCTTTTTAGTTCATAAAGGTATTATTTCCTGAGAATGAAACAGCTTATTTAATGTCACCAATTCTAGCTTTTTAAATTACAAAACTAGCTATATTTCAAAATTGGGGAA